GGGAAGGGAAAATTCAAGAGGGTCTGACCGGAGAGAAAAAAGGGGCTAAGGGGAGGGAAGGCCCATCACTGAGGTTTGTAGGGACAAACCAGCCCCCCTCTCTTCCTGGGCTTTTAGCTCTAGTTGGAGATAGGAACTAACCTTTACTGAGGACTGACTACATGCCTGACACTTTGCAAGTGCTTTCATTTAATACTCACAGCTACACTGTGAGATCGTAATTACCACCCCCACTATACAGATGAGGAAACTGAGGCTCAGAGTGCATCTCACCCAAGGCCACATGGTGAGCCATGAGTGGCAGAACCTGAACATCCCTGCGACCTGCCAACCTGTGGGAGCTGCAGAGGCTGTGAGACCCCCCTTTCAGCCCTATCATCTGCTCAGGCTGAGAACTTCCTATTGGGTGGGTCTTGGGTCATGTTCTTTAGTTGGGGGTGGGATTTAGGGGTTTGGCAGCGGCTCAGTCAACCCTGGTCCCCACCTAGAGGATCTCTAAGGCCTGGCAGGCCCTGAGACACCAACACCAGGGTAGGAAGCTCCAATGCTGCAATCGTCCCTCCTGCCTTTTATCCCGAACACAAAAGGGACTCCCTCACCCCAGGAAGGAATCCCTCTCATATCTTGCTTGCACCTGGCTTCATGGGTCTCAGGAAGGGCTAAAAGGAGAGGGTGGGCGCACCAGTCAGCCTCCCAAATCCAGTGCTGGGCCCTTGGCCCCCTCCCTGCCAGAGGAAACAGCTCCATTCCCCCAGCCCCACCCCCAGTGACCCACACAGGCTAGTGGTGCAGAGCTATAGTGCCCCCCCGTGGTGCCTGCAGGAAGAGCAGGAAAAGGAGCTGGAGAGCTGCTAGAGAGCAGCCCATAGACCTCTGCTTGTGTCCTCAATTCACCAGCTCCCTTGGCTCCCAAATCTTGTCCTTCTTAGCCTGCTGAAATCTAAATCAACCTTCGTTTCAAAACTCCCTCCTCTTGGTGCCTGCCTGTCATCCTCGCACCCACTAGCCATCAACACCTTGTGCTCCCTGACCACCGCCTCAGCCTTGACCTGCATGCCTGTCCTTTAAAGCCACGAGAGGGAGCACTGTACCTGCAGCATGCCAAGCTGGGAGGGACTCAGGTCACAGGGAAGCCACCTGACTGGTAAGTGGGCACCAGGTGGGCAGAGGTCACTGTGACTTGCCAGAAAGGGGTGGGGACCTCAGGTGAGATGGCATGGCTAAGGCTTGTTCACTGCTTGACCCTGTGCTCAGCACGGTGCCTGGCATGGCGCAGGCTCCTCGTAACATTTACTGAATTGACGCCACTACTCAAAGGAGAGAACACAGAGGAATTGAACTGTTGTTCCCAATGGGCCTGGGACTTGGAAAAGAGAAAGGTAGACCAGCACTGGAAAATGGAAGACCCCTGCTCCACCCCACATTCTCAACATCTACACCCAGAAAGAGGGAGCAAATAGGGTCCAAGGACTGTGTCTGTTGTTTCTTTAATTGAATGCACACTCATTCATAGAAAACAGAAATGCAACCATAGCATGGAAATAGACATCAGAGCTCTGAAAAAACATCCAAACCCACCTCCTCTCCCCAGCCCAGGGAGGGCCATACAAACAAGTTGGGAAGAACATAACACATTCCCATCTGCAAGGCAGAGGCCTGACCTGACTCCCCAACCCTGGCATCTGGAATGGACCAGGGAGGGCAAAGGGGACCCCAGGACGCACGCAGCCAGAGGCCCCAGAGCTGGGGCCACCCAGTGTAAACTCCAAGGTTTCACATGTACGCATGTGTGTGACCAACACAGAACTTGGCTGAAGACTGGACGGAAACTTAGGAGCCAGCCCTGGTCCTAGAGTGAGGCTGGGATGAGGGACAGAGAAATGCCATGTCCCTTTCCTGAGCCCCTTTCTATGATAGGCACTGGGGCTCCCGTGGCGGCGGCGGAGGCAGGTGGGCTAGGCTCTTGTTTCCTCCCTCCTTTGCCCCTGGACACTCTTGGGCAATGTCAATGGCACTAAAAGACCCCTGTTGGAGCTTGGCAGGACTAAGGGCCTGGAAAGAAAGAGGAAGGAGGAGGGTGAGCTTTTTCTTTCCAAGCCTGGTGCTAGCATCAGTCTGGGGGCTGATGGAACAGGAAGGTGACCTCTGAATTCAGCCCCTCAGATCAAAGGCAGTACTCACATATGAGCTGAACCTCGTAGCCAAAGAGCCACCAGGGCCCTTTGCAGGTCTTAGCACCATAAGCCTGGCACCAGCTGGCCAGTCCCCAAAACCCTACACCCATCTGTCCTGGCTGACTAGAGTGGGCAGTGATGGCAGCCAGGTACAACCCCAAATAGAAGTAGGGTCCTGGTACAGGCCAGAGAACCAGGCCCCAGACTGAGGAATGAAGTGTTTTGGGTTCCAGGCTGGGGAAAAGGGAAGGACAGGCAGAATTCGAGGCATGAGATGGGCAGGGCAACACTTCCCCCTTTTCCTGCAGAGGGACAAACGGAGAGCCAAGGACAGGGACCTTGGAAGGCCCCAACACTGATAAGAAAGCAGCAATTTGGCCAACATTTGGGGTTTCAGGGGAGCAGGCCTTCTCCCCAGCAGGGGGCAGCTGCAAGGTTCAAGGCCACCCCCGTGACTGTCGGGGCCAAGCCTGGGCTAGGCTTGGTGTCCCACCTGCTACCAGCACAGGGCAGCAGGGCTGGGACTCACATCCCTGTTGCTACAGACTCCGGCAGTGAGGAGAGGGGCACAGGGCCTGTGAGTGAGGCAGGGGCCAGCTCCGTTAGAAGACGTAGATCTTGTCCCGCTGCACCGTGTCCAGGTCGTCGTCCAGTGTTAGCAACACCTGTGGGGTGATGCCAAGTCAAGCACAGGAAAGGGGCAGCTTGCACCTCTACTCGACCTCCCGGTTCTGCCGGAGTCTCACGTACCAGGAACGACCCAAACATGGCGATGGAGGAGAGAAAGTGCCAGATGTCGTGGTCGTCAAAGAAGTCGAGGAGAATGCAGTCCCGATTGTGCTCCCTTGACTCCGCGGGCGTTTTCTAGGTAGGAACGGGGAGAGGTGCCTGCTGCCTTGGCCCTGGCACCCCCTTCTACCTCCAGGGCTCCCTGTTCCCAGCCCCAGGTGGGAGGACACTTTCTTTCTGCCCCTTCCCCCTCTCCCCCCCAACTCCCACGTCTAAGAACTTGGCTATTGTTACAAATTTCTCCCTGTTCTGCCCTCTCCTTTGGTTGACTCGGGCCCTCCTCCCCCACAGACTCTTCGCTCCATCTGAGAGCAGAGGGCTGTGATGACCTTGAGGTGCTAGAAGGCCAGAAGCCTCCTAACAGCCCCGCCCTGGACTCTACTCAGGCCTCCAGGGCTCCTTCAGGCTCATTTTCTTTCCAAAGCACAACTGTCAGCTGACACAACCCTGCCCAAGCCCGCAGCAGCAGCAGCAGCCGTGACCTGTGGCACTCAGGTCCAGTAGACAGCGGTGGGGACTTGCTGTTTCTGCGGTTGTCTGCGCCCCGGCTCAGGTCACAGTGGGGAGCAAGGGAGACCTTCCCCGCCCTCAGAAGCACAGTCTTCACCTGGCTCCCGTCTTCCCACCTAGTTCTGCCTCTGTATCAGTCCACAGGTCACAGGTCTCTGGGCCACAGGGCCCCTCCCCCTTACCCAGGGCCTTTATGGCCAAGAGCAAGATCTGCCTTGCAGTTTTCCTGGCGCCCTAACTCAGAGGCTCTTTTCCTCTGCCCTTCTGTACATGCCCCTGCCCGTCTAGCCTGTACCTTCATTTCAAATATCACTGTTGTAAACAGAAAGCCAGGAACCAGCAGTCCCTCCCTTGAACTAGGCTATAAACGCCTCCAAGGCAAAGCCCACGCTGGACAGTTTGGATGACAGGACTGAAGCCTGACCCATGGTAGGTGCCCCAGGAGGCAGAAGGCAGAGCCTGGAATCTCTGGCTTCAAACCCCAGCTGTGCCACTCCCTGCTGTGTATCTTCGGGCAGGTGCCTTAGCCTCCCTGAGCCTCAGCCACCTCACAAGTAGAATGGGGACCCTCCATGCATGTTGGACGGTAGGAGGGTTAGACAAGAAAGCTGCTGCGAAGCACTGGCCATGGCAGGTGCTCACAGATGATGTGTGGAAAGAAAACCGGCCATGTGTTGGCTCAACGTGAGCCTGTGGGCGACCCCCCGCCCTCTCGGCAGGATGGCTGCTCACCTGCCAGGTGCTGAGTCCCTGGAAGAAGAAGAAGAGGGCAAAGCCCCAGACCACGGAGGTGCAGACAATGCAGAGCAGGGGGATGAGCTTGATCCTTTCCCCGCTCCGGAGCTGGGGGAGGGGAGGAAGAGCAGCCTGAGGGCCAGGCTCTCCCACCGCACCCCTGGCACCTTACCAGGATTTCAGGAGCCCCTCCTGAATTCCTACCATC